ATGAGAAGTTTAAAGGAATTCCTCCAGCACTGTCTGGTCGTTCCTTAGCTTTAATTGCTTTTATTTGAGGTCCTAGGGCTTGTGCAGATGCCTTTGAGGTATTCTCCTGCATATTTTCTTTGACTTCAGCAGACAGAAAATCAAGGGCTTTTTAATTAATACAGATCCTGTTCTGACCTCTAATTTCCCCTGTAGGTGTCCTTCTGACCTCTATTATTTTTGATATCGTTTTTTTGCCTGTTTTCCAATTCTTTGATATTTCTCCAGGAAGATGTGAAGTGTAAATGGTGGAGATAATTGCATCCACTGATGCATTTGTGACATCTCCAGCACTCGGTATGCTGCCATAATGGTCCCTTTGGATTTGATTTGCATCTCGGGCTACATCACAGGCCCCGTTTCCTTTGCTGTTTCCCACTGAGTGGGTGTTTCAGATTTCTGCGTATTATTGCCACAGATTGTTTCTTTGATCAGTGTCTTTTCAGCTTCTGCCTTTGAGATCCTGAAAGGGATGTTACTACATTTTTATACAGTCTGCTGATTTATTCCCTGTCTGATAGTGCTGACTAATCCTCCTAAAAGTCTGGTTTCTAATCTGTGTATGTCATCAGCTAAAATAAATGAATAGAGGATTTTCTGTTTACATAATATCAAAACTAGTCAAAACTTTCAGTCACTTAGATTTGCCTCACAAAAGCTTCCTACACAATTTTTCTGACAAAAATGGTGTTACACATAGCTGTTTGTTTGGTGTTTGCCTTTGCATAACCATTTACCACAGAAACGATTACACACACATGTGAATTTGTCTTCATTTAAAAATGCAATTTATGGGAACTTTATGGGAACTCAAAGCTGACACTATTCCGTATTTGGTGGGTTCTGGATAAATACCTTTTTCAGTAGACAAGCCAACAGAAACATCTTCTAATTAAAGGTTTTAGTGCAGTGAAGTCTCTCCCCCACTCCAATCCTTTACTCTTAATGTCAGTGTTCCATATTTTGCCAATATGTCTTTCTAGCTATTACAGCCTGTAATAATCATGGTGTTTTTATTTCATGTAATGCATTGGCTTTCATTTCTGCTTCTGTCTCCTGGCATTAGGTGGAGTGGATTTCTCCTTTGTGCCATTGCAATGCTCCTTGTGATATTTCCAATGTTTACCTTTCCAAAAAAGCTCCCTCCTCGACATAAAAAAAAGAAAAAGAAAAAGAAGATGAACTCTGATGATGTTTCCAGCGATGATGAAGTCATGAAAGAGAAAACAAATAGCAAACTACAAGCAGAGAGTACGGTTCCTGCCTCTATGGGATTTGGAAAGAATGTTAAAGGTGAAGTTTGATTTTAATTTTTAAATGCTTTAAATTTTGTATATAGGGTCATCTAGGGTTGTATGGGTGTAATTGAAGGCAGAGTTTTGACATCTTGTATTTAATATTATGTTTTGCTATTGAGATTTTAACAGATGGTCCTCCTTTACAGAGTGCAATGATGAGTGTAAGACATTCGTTCACTTAAATTATTGAAGTGTTTAATGTGCACCTGTAACAAACAGGTAGCCTATTTCGCGTAGTTGTATGACCTCTATTAGCAGACATATTTGTGCACCTTACAGTTTGTAATTGTCATACTTGCTTTAAGCTGTCCTTCATAGAATAAAGTACTCTTCTAAAATACAAGTGAAACAAATATAAGAAATGTACTATGTGAGTTAAATTACATTCATGCATTTGACTAAGTTGAGAAAGATGATTTTGTTTCATATGCTTTTCCTGGCTTTACATTGCAAGCTATTGCAAGCTATTTATTTTCAAAAAGCTAGGACAAATGAAACCTGTGCTAATTTTGAAACAAGAAGAGATTAAAAGATTAACAAGTAATAGAGATTTTTATTTTATTCAAGAAGTAAACCATTAATGTGAAATCTAACAATAAGTAGTAATCATTGATAAAATGCCTTGGGAAGAAGGGCAGTGTTGTTAACAATTAATTAATGTGAAGCATATACAGTTGGACTTGACAATATAGGCTTAACAGTGTCATGATATTGAATAGTACAGAACAAGAATGAATGCACCTTAATGCCTTTGTGTTGTCAATGCTGTTGTGTCCTCCTTGGATTCCATGATATGTATGCTGGTTCTGCCATTTTATGATAGCCTGAAGAATGCAATGGGACTAAGAGAAATCATGAAATGTCATTTGTACCTTTAGAAGTAATTTGAAGTCAGAACTGTAAGCGTTAGTTTATTGACATGAACGTTAGTGTTAGTTTTTCATTGGATATCAGTCCAGGATATAATGATTAAAAGATTTTTTAATGATACATTTTATGATCACTCCTTATAGTGGATAGGCAAGGCTCAGCAAAACCAGTGTACTGGTTTTAGACTAAAGACAGAGTAATTCTAAGTAACGTTTGCCCACATGCATAGCGATTTACTCTGCGTTGCATTTACATTTGTACTGTCAGGGTTACTAAAGTTACTGGTAGTTTCTGTGGAAGTGAAGAAAAAAAAGGAGACCATAACCATAATTTGCTTGTGGTGATTTTATTAGCTTACAAAAGAGCACCTTAATCAAAGCACAGAGCAAACAAGGTAAACCTGCAATATCAAATCTTTCAGAACTGTATTCTGCCTTTGTTTCTCAGTCTGAGATATGGTCTAGTCATCCATGCAAAGTAGCTGAAAAAGTGTTGGAGAGGCAAGACGAGCATGTTATGTATTTCCTTCTTTGAAAACTCTGTTCACTGCATTTGTTAGTCCCTGTACCTAATGTTTTCTCCTAAATCCATAAAGCCAGTTGTGGTTTTTTGGCCTTCAAATCTACTGGTCTGTGGTTGCAAAAGTAGTTCAGGGCTACTCCTGTCAAGATTTTCTCACTAATTTAGGGAACTGGGAAAGGGGAGTTCAGTTCCTGCTGGGCTCCTTCCTAATCATTGCAGGCAATGTCATTCCGTAGGTGTGTCTGGAAAAGATACAGGGATTCAGACAACCTCTGCATCTGGATGAGTTTCCTGATGGCTGGTTCTCCATTTCTGTACATAATTTCACTTTCTAGGTCATGTTTTGTCACTACAGGCACAGCAGATGATACACAGAAACAAGTATACTCTTAGGAGAATGTTTCCTAGTAGTTTTTTTTTCATGGAAATGAAAACTACTGTATCTCATTTTAGCATGTATTTTTTTTCATATATATATCTGCCTAAATGTGTTCCATGCCTTCTATAAACTTCTGTATTAGTATATTGGTGGAGCCACCAAATTAGAACTTCTCATATACAAAACTTTTTATTTTCTCTAGGGGAGAAACATCACCACATGGAACAGTGAAAAGCAGCATTGTATTCCACATGTCAGAAAGATACCAAGCGAGTTCAGATAGCACAGAGAAAAGCGTTTTGCTATAAGCTGGTAATAGCTTTCCCATTAGGTGTTATTTACCCGCAAAGAAGTCCTGCAGCAGGA